TCTCCGTGCTTCCCCTGCAAGGGGCACAGGTCTGATCCCTGGTCGGGGAACTAGGATCCTGCAACTCCACGCAATGAGGCGAAAAAAATTTTTAATAAAAAAAATAAAGGGTCCATAACGCAATAAAGGTTAGAAAGCATTGTCTAAGCACCAGGGAGCCATCACAGTTTGGGGCAGATGATCTGAAGTCTGTGTTGTCGACTCACACTCTGATGGAGTGGAGATTGGAAAGAAAGTTTTTCAGAAGATGATCCAAAACCCCAAGGTGGATATTGAGCTGACAGGGTAATGGAGAAAACAGGGCATGTCTGAGAGGTAGAATGCACAGGATTTAGGGCAATTCCGGATGAAGGCGGCAGAGGGAAAGGAAGGTAAAGATTAGAATTTTGATTGGAATTCTAAGGAGAAAGACGTCAAAGAAATTATGACTGACTTCCAAATGACACAATTTCTTCTAGTCTGCCTTAGAGACAGAAGGAATATTTTCACAAAACCAGTCCGGGGTGCCTTCCAAAGGACACGGTCACCAGGCAGTTTGCCAGAATTTCACTTTGTCTATGGTATGTTTTGATATGAGGGTCAGATACAGTATTCTCATCCTCTGAATCGTGTGATTCACATCCAGAAATTCTGTAAGATTCTAATGACTTGGAGGAAAACCTAGTTACTTGTTTAGCTGTATAGTTAAGATTGTATTTCATTGGGTCACCTTAGAGCCTCCCCCATCTTTGCGAAGGAAAAAGGTATCTCCTACGGTTCTATAGAGCCCATGTTGCGTGGGCTATTCCAACCTCCACAGCAAGTAAGGAAGGGCAAAAATGACTTCAAGGTTTTCACCCCAAGCAATTGTGTTATGCTTTTAAACTGCAAAATAGAATCAAGGAAGAGAAGCAGGTTTGTGGGGAAGATGAAGGTAAGATCATTAAATTGGGTTTGGGCAAACTGAATCCGAGGTATTTCTGAGACATTTTATCCATTAGGAACCTTTTGGTTGTGGGTGGCAGAATCCATCTGAAACCGATGTGAGTACAAGGAATGTCCCGGCTTACATAACTGAAAACTCGAGAGGTTCTGCTGCAGGCATGGCTGTATCAGGTTCTCACATGATGTTATCAGGCATCTGTCTCTCCCCATCTCTTGCCTTCTTGTTCCTTATTATGTTTCCAGTTTAGGCAGATTCTCCTCTCCACGAGGCAGTGGTTATGACCAACAGCAGTTTCAAGCTTACCCTCTTCTGCCAGCAAAACTATGCCAGCAATTCCACTCTCTCCAAAGTTCTGGCAAACATCTCAGGTCTAATTCTTTTTTTTTTTTTTAACGCGTGCATGTTTTTGGTTTTTTTTAAAATTAATATTAATTAATTAGGCTGTGTTGGGTCTTCATGTTGCTGCACACAGGCTTTCTCTAGTTGCGGCGAGTGGGGACCACCCTTCGTTGTGGTGCGTGGGCTTCTCACTGCGGTGGCTTCTCTTGTTGCAGAGCAAGGCTCTAGGTGCGCGGGCTTCAGTAGTTGTGGCTCGTGGGCTCAGTAGTTGTGGCTCACGGGCTCTAGAGCGCAGGCTTAGTAGTTGTGGCACACAAGCTTAGTTGCTCCGCGGCATGTGGGATCTTCCTGGACCAGGGCTCGAACCTGTGTCCCCTGTATTGGCAGGCAGATTCTTAACCACTGAGCCACCAGGGAAGCCCCTCAGGTCTAATTCTGATTGACTTTGATCAGATACCCATCCTTGAATCAATTATTGTTGTTTAATTGGCTCAGTCTTCTGTGGTTGACAGCCTCAATTATGTCCCCCAGTGATCCTGCCTCCTAGATTCATACTCTTGTTTTATCTTCTCCTCTTGAGTAACTTACTTCTAACCAACAGAATATGGCAATGTTGAGGGGTTGTCACTTCTGTGATTAGGTTACAAAGACTTTGACTTCTATCTTGCTAGCAGACTCTCTCTTGCTGGCTTTGCTAATGCAAGCTGCCATGTTGGAGACACCCACATTGCAAGGAACCGAGGGTGGCCAACGGCCACCAAGGAACCAAGACCCTCAGTCCAACAGCACTTGCGGAACTGAATCCTGCCAACAACTCTGAAAGTTAACGTGGAAGCAACTCCTTCCCCTTTGAGCCTTCAGATGAGACCCCAGCCCTGATACTTTGACTGCAGCCTCATGAGAGACCATGATCAGAGGACCCAACCAAACCCTGCCCAGATTCCTGACCCACAGAAACTGTGAGAAAATAAATGTGTGTTGTCTTAAGCCACTAAATTTTGGACTAATTTGTTATACAGCCATAGACCTAATACACGTGGGTTGTGGGACTGCCCCTGAAGGGGTAGGTGAGGTCAGCCTCGTGTGAACCATGCGGAATGAAAGTAGAGAACAGCTGTCTCCCCAGAGGAAAGCTAAGGTGTTACTAGAAGCAGGATGGAATTCAGGCAGGCAAAAGCACCTGATACCTACCTCATACATCTACTTGGGAATGTAAGGAAGCAGCTGCAAACATACCTGGAGATATATTAGGTTGGCCAAAAAGTTTGTTTGGGTTTTTTCATGTTATGGGAAAACCCAAACGAACTTTTTTGCCAACCCCAATAGACTTGGGCAGCGATTCTTGCACAGGTGATTGTTGAAACTGTAAAAATGGATGAAATTGCCCTCAAAGAGAGAAGGGCCAAGGGCAGATCTCTTAGGAAGAGCAACAATTAAGGGGCAGATGGAAGAAGAGGCAAAGGTGAGTAGGTGAGGGGCAGAGGTATAGGATGATGTGCTCGATAGGGAACAAATTCAGCTTGTCTGGTCGCTAAGACAAGCATCTGAGGAGCTGCAGCACACTGTTAGAAATCTGGGCTTTCAGTTCGGAAGTTGTACATTGGGAAGTCATCAACGTAAATGAGAGTGTTAAAATCAGGTATGTGGATGATTTTGTCCAGTGAGAAGGCTTGAGGGGAGAAGAGGTCATGGACAAATCCTTGCAGAATGTGTATTTAAGCAGCAGGGGAGGGAAGAACACCCATGGGAAGGGACCTGAGGAGGAACAGTTGGAGACATAAGAGGCAGTTCAAGACTGGTCTAGTCTCCCAGAAACCATGAGCATTTCAAGACTGATACAGTCAAGAGAGGCAGAAGCTAAAGAGAGGTTGTGTGTGATGAGAATCGAGAAAAGAATGATGGGCCAGGGATGGGGAGGTCCGTGGTGGTCCCAGTGGGAAACATTCCAGGGGAAAGTAGGGGCAAAAGCCAGACTGCATAGGTTTAAGAGTGGGTGGGACATGAAGGGGAGATGTGGCAAACTGACCAGCATTGTGAGAAGTTTCACGGTGGGTTATGGGAAGATTTGAGCATATCTGTAGGCTGAGGGGGAAAGTCTGGGCTGTGCCTTTCCACTGCCATCTCAGGGTAATTTCAGTTGACTTCCTTGAGTTCTGTTACAGCTTTCGGAGATGACAGGGTCCAAAACTGTCCACAAACCTTTGTTGTAAAGAGCCAGCTAGTAAATATACTAAGCTTTACCAGCCGTAGGGTGGTCTCTGTAGTGACCCCTCAACTCTGCCATTGTAGTGTGAAAGCAGCCATAGGCAATGTGTCACCAAGTGAGCAGGGCTGTGTCTCAATGGACCTTATTTACAAAAAAAAAAAAAAAAAAAAGCCACACACACCAAAAACACAAAAAAAACCCCAACAGGCAAAGGGCAAGATTTCATCCGTGGGCTATAGTTTGCTGAACCTTCCTCTAGGCTCATGGAAGGGGATTGGAGATGCAATAAATTGGGCAACTGATGAAGCAAGGATAGCATCAAGACCTCGGGGAAATGGGTTTGCCTCCGAAAGAAGGTTCTTCTGTCTATTTGGACACCTGTCGTTCTCTGACTTTCCTCTTTATGTGTCTGCCTTGTAACCCTCAACTACGAGCACCTTGGGGCTAGGAATGTTTCCCAGCAATGATTCCAGAGGCTTCCACACAGGAAGCCCTCAGACACATAAGCAGCTGAGAGGAGACACAAAGGCGCCTTATTGTGGAAGAAGGGGAAAGGAGAGAGACACATATGGAAAGGCCTGTGTCACCTCTGAGTTAGGAGCCATGAAGCCAAGTTCCCTCCACTGATGTTTAAGCAGAGAGGCAACATGTCTCTAATATTAGTTTCAGATTGCGTCCTTCCAAGAGGCAGAGGACTGAGGTAGAAGGTCTTGCTGTCTCACAAGTGGTATACTGGAATCTGGGGAGGACTCCGGAGATTAGGGAGGAGGGCAAAGGGCCACCTCCAGAAAGATCCTGGACATACTGGGGGATGGTGAGGAAGAAAGGGTACTGCAAAGCCCAGGAGCACTCTGGAAGTCCCGAGGGGGGAAGGGGGAGAAAAGAATGTAAGAGGGGCTGGGGCCAAATAGCTCCTGGGTACCTTTTTTTTTTTTGGCCGCACTGTGCATCATCTTAGTTCCCTGACCAGGGATCGAACCTGTACACCCTGCTGTGGAAGCACGGAGTCTTAACCACTGGACCACCAGGGAAGTCCCTTGGCCTCCATTTTAAACTCCTGAGATGGGATGGGGCTGTACAGAGGTTTAAAAGCTGGTAAGTGAAAAAGGAAGCCTTCTTTATGCAGCTCACACCTGGGCACAGGGAATCCAGAGACTGGAGACTGAGCTGAGAGGGACCAAAGAGAGTCCATCCCCTCGCGGGGAACCAGAGTCCACTCTGCCTTGGGAAGGGTGTTTGTGGAACACAAATGGCGGCCTTCAGACTAAGGTAGAAGCTGCAGAAACCTGAGGGTGGAGGCACTGGGGTAGCTTGATGAATAGGTAGGAGGCATCTCTTGGCAGGGGAAAAGGGTAAGGGCATCTTCAAGAAAAATGATGTCATTGGAGCTGAGCCTAGCCTAGAGGGAAGTGTTCAAGCCCTCCACAACCTTTCTCAGCCTGACTTTCCATCCTTGCTATTCTCCTTCCTATATCCTAGGTTCCTACCGAATTTACAACCCATTCTAAGCACATACCACCATTTCCCCACCTTCCAGCCTTTGTGTTGTTTCCTCTCCTTGCCATTTCCTGGTCTTCCTTCCTCCCATCTTCTTGTCTTTAAATCCTTTCTGGTCTTCAAGTCTTAGATGCTACTTCCTCCAGGAAGCCTTCTTAGATTCCATTCCCACCTGGGAGCAATCCTTCCCTCCTCCGAACTCTTTGTCTGTCACCAGAGAAGTCATTTAGCAATTTTCACCTGTAATAAAGAAGTGCTGAGGACAGAAGCCATTCTCCAGGCAGCTCTGTGCCTTCCCCTTAGCCAGCGCACATTACCCAGGCAGACGCCCTCCACAAGTGGGGACTGGACAAGGGTCTGTACAAGCTCAGGCAGGTGCTACAGTCCCTTTTACCAGCTCCTGGGGCTGTTCTGTCTGCTGGGTTAGCGCCCTGTATGCACCAAGCCTGTAGCTACCAGAATCCTGGACACCCTGCACCCCTCCTCCTACAGAAGCCCCAGCTGCTTGCTAATTCTGCTTCCTGCTTTTAACCCAAGGATAAACCCAGGCTCACTCTTCTGTCTCTCGGCTGGCTTTCTCTCCTCATGGTGGGGAATGCCACAATGGGGTCTCTTAAGCACATTGATTTAGGAAACAGGCTCTGAGCTACCTATGTTCTTACAACCCAGGAGCTCTGGGTATTCACGTGCTGGTTGGACAGCCTGTCTGCCTCTCCCATGGAGCTGGCTATCCCTTGGTATCAGCCATATTGGCTGATTTCAACCCCAGTTCACTTTTGGCCTGGGCTAGAGAAGTGCATTTAGTGAATTAACTTAATAAAGTATGCGTGGTGGGCGTATAAGAGCTCCTCCAAAGAGATGCACTAAGTTTATTGTGTTAAATTGCTGTGTGCCCTTGGGCAAGTGACACCCCCCACCCTAACTCCTGTCGATATCTTGGCTTCTATCTTTGAAAAAACAAGAAGGTTGGGCAAACTTGCAAATCCTGCTAGCCCTAATCTTCCGTGTGGTGTGTGTCGTGGGTGTGTGTATCTCAGCTCCCACAGAGCAGATCAGACAATCATAAGAAAAGGGTTCCTGACAAAGGTGACAGGGATTCGAACACTTCCTAGGCGTTGATGCCCTTGGTGATTTGCAATTTGCATCTGGGAGATTTTGCACCTGAAGACAAAGAGAAAGGATTATTTTTTTTTAAGAAGATGCTGGGGGTAGGAGTTTATTAATTAATTAATTTATTTTTGCTGTGTTGGGTCTTCGTTTCTGTGCGAGGGCTTTCTCTAGTTGTGGCAAGCGGAGCCACTCTTCATCGCGGTGCGCGGGCCTCTCACTATGGCGGCCTCTCTTGTTGCGGAGCACAGGCTCCAGACGCGCAGGCTCAGTAGTTGTGGCTCACGGGCCTAGTTGCTCCACGGCATGTGGGATCCTCCCAGACCGGGGCTCGAACCCGTGTCCCCTGCATTAGCAGGCAGATTCTCAACCACTGCGTCACCAGGGAAGCCCCAGGATTTTTTTTTTTTCCCCAGCAAGATTCCTGGGATGTTGTTCTCCAGCAGGACCACAGGGATTCTGGGCCTGCGCTGTCCAGTATGGTGGCCACTGGCTACATGTGGCTATTTAAAAGTGATTAAAATTAAATAAAATTAGCAAGCCATTTCCTCAGTCACAGTAGCCACATTTCAAATGCTCAGTAGCCACGTGTGGCTACGTGTGGCTAGTGGCTACCATATTGGATGATGCAGTATAGAGCATTCCCATCTTCACACAGAAACTTCTATAGGAAGTTCCGGATCAAACTTTTGTAAATCAGGAAACTGAGGCCCAGAGAGGCGACATGACCTGGCGAAGCATGTTATGGCAGATCTGGGCCTAGAACAAAGGTACCCCGTTCCCAGGCCTGACTCATTGCCCTACCCCCTGCTGCCTCCTTCCTCTATGCCCCTCTGGGCTCCCAGCTCAGAGCCCCTCGTGGGTCCAGCACAGGGCCAGGCGGCTGCGTTGGTTGGTCCCAGGGGGTGTTTGTGACTGAGCAGAGCTCCAGATGCTGCACATTCCTGGTAGGGTCAGACCTGCCCTGCGGCGATCAGGGAATCAGCCTCTCAGAAGAGCCTCAGATATCCTTTCCGGAGCTGCCCTCTTCCTGCCCGGCCCGGGGGGCTGGTTGGTTCAGGAGCGCTCTCGGATCGTCTTGGGTGAAGCTGAAAGGCTGCGTGGATTCCCTGTTGGAGAGGTACTTCTGCTCAAGGAGGGTTCGGAGACAGGCAGGAAATTGCACCTCTTGCATCTTCTAAGGTCTCCAGGTCCAGCACGAGGGACATCTGGGAACAGGGTTTCTGCCAGTCCACCCTTGGGGCCGCATTTGGCGGGAACCGGATCTGCCCTCACCTGCAGCCCTGTGGCGGGTGTGATGTTAAGGGCAGGGAGACCGGCGTCCGGGGGTGGAGGTACGGGGGGCTGAGAGGCCAGGGGAGGGGGCGCCCGGGAGCGCCCAGACCTCGCCGGCTGCTGGGAGGCGGAGGGGATGGGGGTTGGGGGAGAAGAGGGGAGCCTGGCAGCCAATGAGAGGGAGGATCTCGTTTCAAAAGGGTTAACCCACAGCCAATGGGAGCCTGGGGGAGCGGATCCTGCTCCCTCCATTCAAGAATCCCAAGTATTCAAGATGGACGGCAGGGAGTGTGGAAGGAGAAAGGGGGCGAGGGGGAAGAGCGAGATCGGCAGAGGCCAGGGCGCGGCGGCCGCTTGGTCCCCGGACCTACCTTGGTCCCGGCCGGCGGGCGGAGGGGCGGCCGCCGGGGATCCGAGCCCGGCCCGGGAGAGGAGCCGGCGGGGCGCGAGAGGGCGTGAGAGAGGGGGTGCGAGGCCAGGGAGGGAAGCCAAGAGGGAGGGAAGGGCAGAGAAAGAGCCCGGGAAGAAGGAGGTGGCAGGCAGAGGAACGTAAGGAAGCGCACTGTGTAGGTATCTGAGCGCCCTGAGGGGTAACGCCACCGATTTTCGGTTTTATTCTCTCGGTGAGGGGAGGGGGCTGGTCTGGGCTCTTCCCTTCGTCTTCCTTCCCCCTCTTCGTCCTCCTCCCCTCGTGGGCATCTCTTCCATTTGTTCCTTTCGCAGCGCTCGTAACTGGCGAGCAGCAGGCACGTCGTGCTGGGGCGGCTTCGCGGTCCTTTTCCCGCGGGGCGGTGGTGCGCAGGGGAGGGCGGCTGCTGCCGGGCTGAGGCCGGGCCGTCTGGGGCCGGGCGTGCCGGGGACTTGGCGGGTGTGTGCAGAGGGAAGCGCCGTGGCCGAAGGGCTGCAGCCGGGCGGGGAGTTGTGCATCTTGAGAAGTTGTGGATGAGCCAAGGGGCTGTGTGTGCGTGTGAGGCCCGCTCTTGGGCTGAGAGTTGTGGGGTTTTGAGGGGTGTGTTCTGTGGAGCAGCTGTGGCTTCGCACTCCGGGGCTTGCTGTTTGGGTGAGTGTGTAGTGAGGGCTGAGTTGTGCAGCGAGTGTGGCTGGGAGTTTGCGTGTGCGCGCGTGTGTGGTCCAGCCTCTAGGTGTGTGTGTGTCCTGGGGGGGGGCACCGTTGGGCGTAGAGGGCGAGCGCGCCCCCCTCCCCCCACCTCCCCCTGCCCCTTTCAGCCCATTCACGGAACGGGGCTTTCAGGACCCTCCCGGGCCCCTCCCCCTCCAGTCGCCATGGCTGCGGGGAGGGGGGGAGGAGACAGTCGGGGCCAGCCCCTGCCCCTGGCGCTCCAGCTAACCCTCCACCTGCCCTTTCTCTCCCTTCCGCAGGCTGGGCCCCATCCCCCGCTGCTCCGGGGAGCAGGGCCCGGAAGATGGTGGCCAATGAGGAGGGGGAGTGGAGAGAACTTGAGCCGGGGCCTCCCCTCCCCCATTTCCTCCTCGGTCTCCACACCCGCCTCTGGAAGGAGCTGGGGGATGGCTCCTGGGCCCACGCTGGGGGACGGGCCCTGCTGGCTGCTGAATCGCAGGGCCCGCTCTGCAGTGAGTTGGGTGTGAGAGCCGAAGGGACCTTGGCCCCAGCCCCGTCTCCCTTCTCTCCCCCGGGAGAGATCTGGGAACTCCTTGGTGAGGAATCTTCCCCTCACCTCCAGGAACTTGCTGGGCAGTCCTGCCTTTGCTCCTCTGCCCCCTGTTGGCATGATCCAGTTCCCTGCTGGGACTGCTTTGCTCAACCCAAGAGCAGAGGCCTGGCGACTGGCCCTAGTGGGGCCTGGGTCCCCGTTAGAACGTTTTGCAGATTACAGGAACAAACTCTGCCTAGGAAGGCGGGAGAGAGGCTCTCCTGCTTCCTGAGGGGGTGGGAGGGGGCCGGAGGGGAAGCCCAGAGGAAGAGCTCCCAACTGGGAGTCTGTCCGCCATTCCTCCGGCTGCCGGCTGTGGAAGGCGGAGGTTATCTCCTGGAGGCCTTCCCTGTTCGGTGCACCGGGGAGTTACCCCACAGCCCCTGACCCTCTGGGCTGCACACAGTTCACCAGGTCAGAACTGGAGTTGAGCTTCCGGGGCCACAGCTCTAGCCAGGAATGTGCCACCCTAGAGCTCTGCCTGGCTCTGAACCTTTGGCTGCTGTCAGGATTGTTTATCCAGGGTTTAAGCCCGTTAGACCAGGCAGGATGGGGAAGTTCTGGGTGAGCTGAAAGCTCCCTAACTGGAGTCCCTGGATAAACAAGAAACAACTCAGATTCTGATCCCACTGCCAATGAAAGCCTATGTCTAATGGTGAGGGAATCAACCGCACCGTTTCATTTAATGCTGAACCCATAAAGTGGATTTAATGACCTCCAGGAGGAGATGCAGAGGTGGGACTTTACCTGCAGCTTCTACCTCCAGAAGCACCTCCCCTCCTGTGCAGCCTGGGGACCCTGCACCTTTTCTCCACCATCCCTCTGGTCCTGAAGGTTCATCTGAGGCTGTCCCCTTAAGGCCTAGAACTTAACCTTTATCTAAACTAAAAAGGAGAGCGAGCTTTGGCATAGGGAGGAAGAGAGGGTTCTCTGGTCCTGGTCAGCCAGCTCCTCTCTGGAGGGAAGCTGCCGGAGATACAAATCCAGATGAACACAGCTTCATGTCACCTCCAGATTTGGGGGGTTTCTACTGCTCATTTCCTGTGAAGATTGAGTGCCAAGCTGCCTCCTTGGACCCTGTGCCCCCAGCCCCAAAACCTCAGGGAAAAGGTGGTCTCAATGCTAGGAAGGGCGTGAGGAAGAAGGCCAGAGGAATGGGGGGAAAATAGAGGACCTACGCTGAGAACGGAAGAGAAGGGAGGAAAGCTGTACTGAAGATGAGAAAGGGCAGAGGGAGGCCAGGAGAGCTGAGTGGCCCCGGGGACTGGGAGAAGGGGCGAGGAGGCAGGGCCGGCATGCCTCTGCTGCGGGCCGGAGCTCTTTTCACATTGTGCTACTGTCTGCGCCTATCACTAGCAGTGCAATGTTAAAAGGGCATTGGCCGCGTAGTGCTACCCAGCGCCAGCTGCCTCCTCAGCGTTGAGACTTCCTCACCCAGAATCCTCCCTACGAGTAGTCCTACGAATAGCTCACATTTACGGAAGCGCTTCCACGTGCAGTCCACGTGCTAGACACTAAGTACATTATGGTGGACCTCTAATGACTTTGGCAAGTAACACCCCCATTTTACAGATGAAAAAACTGAGAGTCGGAAAGGTTTCCGCAGAGCTGCCAAAGTTTTACAGCTCTTAAATTGCAGAGCCTAGATCTAATCCTGTCCTAAGCCTGACAGCTCACCAGTCTCTTTGGAGAGGCTTGAGTGGATTCTCAACTGAGATTGCCGGAGCTGAGGGGTAGAGGGTTTTGGTGCCACCTGCTGGTTGTATGCGAGTATCTTCCAAAGGTTCAAGCCGTTAAGGATACAAGTAGTGGCTTGTTGGCTTAGAAGGAGGAGTTCCCAGACTCAGTTTGGGATCGGAGTGTGGGTGGATAAGATTGGGAGAAGCACTGTTAGGACCAGAATAGACCTCCATGAGAAAAAGGGGATGCCCAGGAAAGGAAAAAGGGCTAACCTGAAAGGACTGCTCCCTGGGGACAGGAACTCGTGTGCCCCTGGCATTCCACACCTGCAGCTCCTTCCCTGGCTCTTGGGCAGGAAAAGGAGACCTCATCTCCACCTGCAGTTCCCAGCATGACCCCTCTTAGTCACAGGGTATTTGACAGTGGTGCTTCTCCAGGGCACACCTGTCTGGGCATCCAAGATTCGGACAGCACTGCCCACGGCCTGATCTTGAAGATTAAATAGCATCCCTTGAACCCAACTCGCAGAATGATTCTTCTGGGAGAGACTGCAAAGAACTTGAGGGCAATGACTGCCAGTCACTTCCCTGTTTCCCACAGTGTCTAGTTGGCTTAATAAGTAAATTGAGAGAGAGGCAGATTTGGGGAGCTTTAAGAAGGTGGCTAGTTTGTGTCTGACATTCAAAGTCAGAGATTTTCAAGGACAAGCCTTCCTGAACTTTGGTGCAGGAAGTGGAACTGAGAGGGACAGCGTTTCTGGGTCGCTTGCTGGAACCTGAGAGAAGGCTTTAGGCATCACCAGGCATGTGGGAACTGAATGATGGGACAGACCCCCATCAGGCCTCTCAGATGGGGGTGCTGGACATCATTCCTTCATGGCTTATTTGCCTTCATCTAGCACCTGTGTCTTCCAGGTCTCTTCCTCCCTTCTGCCCAGACAGCCTCTCCATCCTGACGTTGACAACAGTAGTTGAGACGGTACAGTTCGCTTCACGTTCCTTTTTTTTCATTCTTAACATTTCTATTTGAGCCTCTTCTCTGGGCACAAAACAGCCATTTGGTGATGTGACTCCACTTATTAAGAAACAAGAAAAGTTCAGTGTTTCCTCAATGCCCTTGAGATGAAATTCCTAAGTGTATTATGGCCTCTGCCTGTCTTTCCTGTGCTATCTCATCACCCACTTGCATCTGGGCTCCAGCTTTGGAAACTTTCATTTCATCTAAACTTGAGCCACTTAACACACAGTTCTCTCGGCCTGAAATATCCCCCTCCCCTCAATCTTCCTCTCTGCCCACGTAACTTCTTTTTTTTTTTTACTATAAATTTATTTATTTATCTTTGGCTGCGTTGGGTCTTCCTGCCTGCGCGCAGGCTGTCTCTAGTCGCGGCGAGCAGGGGCTATTCTTCGCTGCAGTGCGCGGGCTTCTCTTGTGGAGCACGGGCTCTAGGTGCACGGGCTTCAGTGTGTGGCACACGGGCTCAGTAGTTGTGGTGCACGGGCTTAGTTGCTCCGCGGCATGTGGGATCTTCCTGCACCAGGGCTTGAACCCGTGTCCCCTGCATTGGCAGGCGGATTCTTAACCACTGCGCCACCAGGGAAGCCCCGCCCACCCAACTTCTCATCCTTCAAGTGCCGTCATAGTCATCACTCTGCAAAGCCTTCCTTGACTCCTGAAGTCTAGGCTAAGCCCCTCCTACAAGCTCCCGAGCTTACTCCCCCATCCCCGCTCAGAGCCCTTGTCACCCACTGGAATTGCCTGGTTCTCCTTTGTCCTCGCGCTAGACCGAAAGCTCCATGAAGTCAGGCCGTGGCTGCCTTGTTCTCCACTGCATCCCCAGTGCTGAACAAGGCCTGGCAAGTAAGAGGTGCGCTTACAAATAGTTGCAGTATCAATGAATCTGTAAATAACAAGCTAGCTCACAAAAACAATGATTTTCATGATGCGTCCAATCCTCCCCGCAGATGTCGGTGACCTCACAAAAATAAGATCACATCACTGCCAAAAATTGCACTTGCGTCACGTGGTTGCATTGATGCTGCAGTTTTGAGCTATTTTGTTCCACTTTGTATCAGCTGCTAAGGCAGCACCTTGGCGGATCGATTTTCCTTTTAGCTTTAAGTGTGGCCATGAGCCGACCAAAACATTCCAGAGCCAGGCTGAAAGGCAATGGGACCCAAGAAAACCCTTGTTCTGGAATAAACCTCTTCCAGGTGCCCGAACCAGGCAAAAGCAGATTCACTTGTCAAGGGCTCCAAAAGACAGGAGCTGTTTTGGATACTCCAGCTGGAATACCACTCACAAAAGCCATCTCTTATAAGCAAAACCTCACCTGAATCTCCATCCCCTGGTGTCTTGCCATTGACGAAGCAACTGCTGCCCCCTAGTGGTGTGAAGGGACAGGCCTGGGATGGGGGTGTTATGTGACCGGTACGGCACTTGCATGAGGAAGAAAAGTCAGAGGACCGAGTGCCTCACAGTTGCTTTCCCCTTTTTATTAAAAATAGACTCAAACACTTTATGTATCATACAAAAGTTTCGTTCGCTGGTGGCAGCCACGAGGAAGCCTGGCCCCGTAGCACTGATTTCCCGCCTTCCCCCCAAGGGACTGGGTGCCAGGGAGCAGTGGCTGGGCCTCGGAGAACGCCCACAACGCCGGCTTGCTCTGGAATCTGCCAGCTGGGGGTGAGGCTGTTCCAGGGCAACTCTCCCTACCCCACGCAAGGGTCAGATACTTGAAAGTGCCTCTTCAGTGCCAAGATAAACAAGTGGAGTGAAATGGAAACCCCTGCGATTCTTTTATTACCCAGGGCCTGGGATTTGGGATTTCCACCCCCAACGAATCCTTGCTTCTGCAAACAGGGGTGGGAAACTTCACCCTTAGAGACTCCGGGATCTCCCGGTGTCTGAGGCCAAAATTTCACTCCATCTCAAGCCTTTTCCCACCTGCTATTCTGTGGCCTAGGATCTACCAGTCCCATGACTCAAAGTTGGTCCTCTGTTCATTCACAGAGGTGGAGCAAACACCGATTCCTCCCGTGGTCCTCTCTGCCTGAGTCTACGCCCCGCCATCCCCTCAATTTTCAGGACCTTGGGGCTAGAAGGCCCCACAGCCAGCCCTTTCCCCCAGTCTGTCTCCCTGGCTGCTGCCCACTCCTGAGCCTTCAACACCCCTGGGGTACCCCAGGGCCCCGTTCCAAAGGGGCCTGGGAGTGGCGAGGTGGAGGCGGGGGAGGGGGTGGTGGGAGCCGGGTTCCCCCCAGGGGTGGGGCAGTACTCATGCTGGTATGGACGCTTCGCAGGGCCAGGGGACAGGGGTGGGGAGGGTGGGGCATGCGGAGGAAGGGCACAGCCTGCCAGAGCCCCTCAGTCCCAGCCGTTGTCCTTCACCATGTGTGACATTTCAATGATGTACTTCCCTTCTTTGTACTTCTGGCTCGTCTCAAAAGCTTGTTCCTGATGGAGGGGAAGCCGTGAACGCAGGACAGAGCAGTTCCCTCCCCGGCACTCCTGCTGCCACCTGTGTTACCCCTGATCCCCAACCCCGCTACCCCCCACCCAGTCCAACCCACTACTAGCTCCCTCTCCCCTCTGGATCATGCAAAGACCTAACATGTGGGCACCGGGGCTTGGAGGGCCATGGAGACTCCACTTCAGAGGGTGGCCCTGTCCCCCCGGTACTTACATATTTCCAGCCGAGGGTGGTTTTGCAGCTCTCGCAGAAGATATCAGCTACCGAGTGGAGCCCCGTGAGCAGGAGACGCTGCTCAGCTGGCCCGCAGCCCACGTTGACCCTGTCTCAGGAAACAGGAAGGACCCAGGACCCGGTGGGGTCGCTCTGTCAGCCTAGACCCCGAACAGCCCAAAGGACCTTCCATCTGGAGAGAGCTTCACCCTCCAAATGGAAGCCCCTGCCCTCAGCAATCCACCCTTTTCTGGCTAGTGCCTGGGCCTTTTTCTTCCGGTGCTGGGATTCCCCGCAGAAGAACTGTAGACTGAGTTCCTGAACCACTTCGCAAAAGGAGAGGTAAAGGCAGCAGGTGCAAAGCCGCCTTCAGATGGCTCACCCTGTTTCTCCCAGAGGAAAATTATTCACAACACAAGCACACATGCACAAGGAGAGAGGGAGACTCACACGGAGTTAAACAGGTAGGCTCGGCCGTGGCTCCCTTGGAAGGACTGTGGAGACATAGGACAGACAGTGACTACTGGGTAGCCCTTGACCCCAGGGTTACCCTTGCCCTGAGTCACCCCGGGACGCGGAAGAGGGAGGCTGGACTTCGTTGCCTCACCCCTAGGTGGTGTTTGGACTACCCTGGGGGGAGAGCGGAGGGGAGTGGCAGGCCCCCACTTGGCGTACCTTGGAAATAAGCTCATCGTGTTTGGCCAGGTGTGCACGGCAGTGGACGCAGCTGTAGGTGCGGTGGCAGCGGGGCAGGTAGCTGCGGAAAGTCTTGGTGGGGAGGCAGGCAGGGGCCGGGCCAGGGTCGCAGCTGGGCATGACGGGCTGGAGGACGATGCCCTGGCGGGCAGGAGGGGCTGGTGCCGTGCAGCTCCCACACAGACGGTCGCAGGTGAAGCAGCGGAGCAGGTTGGCTAGAGCCGTGTTTCAGGGCAGGAGAGATGTGGGGGGGCTGCCCGGCCAGGGCCCCCCCAGACGTGAACCAGATAGAAATGGAAGTCACCTGGGAAGAGGGGAAGGTGCATCAGGAGAGCCGAGACCACGTGAGGAGCCCCTCCTGCGGGGATGGAGAAGATGGGGCTCCGCTCACCTCCACCCCTACTTCCCCCCACATCGCCAGCAACCCTCCTCAGCGTCCGGTCGCACTGGGTCTCCCTGTCCCCTGGATGACAGTCTGCTCTGGCAAGCCTGGCAGCGGATCCAGGCCTCTAGCCCAGGAGGTGGTGTCTCTCCCTCCTGGGGCGGGAGCAGCCTCCACCATTTTCCACCGAGAGCAGCCCGCCGGCACCAGCGCTGCCATGGGAGCAACGTCATTTGCAAGCGTTCTTTCCTTGGTTTTCAGTTCTTTTTTGAGGATCTGCGTCCCACATGCACTGGTAGGCTCTGTGTCTCTGGAGCTCAGAGCCTTTAAAAAGTTGGGGGTGCCTGGCAGTTCTTCTTTCTCATGGCCTCCGTTTGCAATATAATTGGTCCATCACACATTTTGTGTGGGAGGGAGGGGCGTGATGAGAAAGGGAAGGAGAGCAGGCAGGCAGGTACACACACTCCGCTCCAGCCCTCTTCTGGGGCTGGAGTCCTGCATTCTGGGAACTAGAACTTGATGGATGTCTCATCGGGTACCAAAGACCTCAGACGTGGCTGCTGCCCGGTCTTGCACCTTGGTCCACTCCTTCTGGCCCAGAAGCAACACTGGGCTTGTCTTCTCAGCCTCTGAGGCCCTCGGTCTCTCTTTCCTGCCCTCTGTAATGGCTGCCTCGGCCCTCGGTTAAGGACTTGGGCACCCAGCCTAGGAGAGAAACTCTCTTTCCTTCGGGCGCATCTGACAGCTGGAACCAATGGGCAACGGGGACTGTGTCGGGGAGGCCAGCGCTCCTGAGCTGTGTCTGCAGGGTGGAGCAGCGTCTAAGATGGGCAGCAAAAGTGGAGGCCCTTATTTTCAAAACCCGTGCTTTGGGGCCCAGGCAGAGGATGTTTCTCTTCACCTTCTCCTAAGGGCAGGACAAACAGCAGTGACTCTGTGGGTGACATGAGATAAAATAATTGCTGGGTCCTGATTAAGAATTTTGAGGAAGATGCCCAGACTCCAGACCCAGAATGGCTGAGGGTGCTGGATAACGAGGGAGGTGTCCCCTGTTGGTTCTGATAAGCGAGTGAGCGGCTGTCTTCTCCCTCCTTCATGGGGCCTTCAAGCCCGTGGTGGACGGTTCAGCCCAAGTCTGGTTCCGAGATGCCAGCTGGGTGCTTTGGCAATGCTAGGCCACTAGGCAGAGCAGAGGCAGTGGGACTGAGCAAGCCAGGGCGACGGGCTCTCATCCTGTCCTCTGCGGTGGCCGCCAGCACCCCTGCTGTTCCAGTGCTTCCTGGGGCCGCCAGGCACTCTCTCTACAAAGACCCCCTGGCAGAGACCATCTTCAGATTCAGGTCTTCTCCCCCTGCTGGGGCCCAGGAAGACACCGTGGGCTGTGCTGAGGGTGACACTGGGCTCTGGCTCTAGGAAACGGGCCTTCCTCACCAGCAGAACACTCTTCAGCCTCCACTTCACAGCTCTGCCTTCAACTTTGCCTGCAGGCTCCCCTCTGACGCGCTCCAACTAACACACCTTCGAGGGGCCTGGGGAGGGGGCCGGGTCCTAGCTCTCAGACTCCTTCCCCAGCCTCCAGCACGCCTCCCTCCCTCTCTCTCCCCTGCTTCCCCATCCAGCCCAGGAGAGGCTGCACAGAAGGCCGGAGAGTCACTCACGGGAGGGGAGGAGGGGTCACTTCTCTCCCCATCTCAGATTACCGAGAGAAGCGAGTAGAGCAAATGACTGGGAAAAAAACAAAGGCAAGCGGAGTGCGGTGGAGAGGATGCTCCCCCAAGTGAGATGGGGCTGGACCGTGGGAGGTGGGGGAGAGGGAGGGCTGGGGGAGGGGGATGCCGAGCAACCAGCGCTGACGGCAGAGGCGCCGAGGCGGAGGCTCCAGGAAACAGGTGCGAATCCCGTGCCTCTTAGGGGAACAAAAAGGGAGGGGGACACCTGCTCACAAAGGATTTTCTCATCTGCTCTGAGGCTTCGGCCCCCTCCGGGCTGGCATTCCTTAGTAGGGTAGGGTCCGAATAATTAGCAGCGCAGCCGGCTCCCAGGGCGGGCTTTGGGGGTCTGCACCAGCAGCAAAACAATAAACAGTGATGCCTGATGCTGCAGCCAGAGTTGCCGGGAAATAAGTGCGGGAACCGTCAGAGCTTGGAGAGGGATGAAGGAGCTGAGAGAGGCGCGGAGGCAGCGGGGAGGGGGAAGGGAGGACAAAGGGTGGATGAATAATGCTTTTGCAAAGGGGAGAAAGCAACACGCAGCAGAAGGAGGAAATTTGCAAAGGGAAAAAGATTCATTTGGAGAAGAGCTGCCCCCTCACCTTGAGGTCTGCTCCAGAGATCTCCGTCTATCTCTCTCTCTCTCTCTCTCTCTCTCTCTCAATCTCTCTGCTCACTCTTCTCTCTTCTCCTTCCGCTCCTTCAATGGGGAAGGGGATGGGGGCGGGGGGAGGGTAGTTAGGGGCTCAAGACTGGGGCTGCAAAGCTGGCCAGCTGCTAAGGGGCCAGAGGTTGTCTCCCGTCTGTACCTCGGGCTGTGGGTGAATGTAGCTGTATGTTGTGGAACTGCATCATAACACTGTGAGTCATCCATCCCCCACCCCCCTCACCTCCCACGTCAGAGCAGGGCTGGGAGACACAGGAGGAGGGTTGGGAGGAAGGGAGCGCGCAGGCATTGAGGGATGGGGCTGGGGGAGTGATGCAGAGGGATGGGAGCAGAGGGGCGGGACGGGAGGGGCGGGGGCAAGAGGAGAGGCTGGCTGCTCTGGAGGAAGGCGGTGTGGCCAAGGAGACTGCAAGAACCTGGGGGAAGGACAGGGCTGGGCAAGGATGGCGTACGGGTGGCAGGACTGGAGGAAAGGTGGTGGCTAGGCGGGTGACAGTGAGAGACGGGTGCAGAGTCAGGAGCGTGCGCGCACATTCAAGATGATACATCTCCCATTTCAGCTCTGGCACCAGCCTTGACGCAGGGAAAAGAAAGACACAGTAATTGTCACATATGGCATAGAGTGCCCCCAAGCTTGTACCAGGCACTTCCAAGCCTCCAGCTGAATACCCCCGAAGGAGTCATAGACCAAATATGACATCTCACATGCAGGAACCTCTTATCACCTACCTCCAAATTACTTGTGCTACACCCACGTTACATAAGATTCTCTACTGGGCTATAAACTTTCTGAGGCAGGTCCTCTGGGAAACTCCTCTCTGCATCCCAGGACTGCGATGCCTAGCACAGAACTCTGCATACAGAAGATGCTCACAAAACAGCCGTTGAGTTGCATCTTCAGATGTTGTCCAAGTGTCTGGCTTTGGTCTCAGGGAGACCTGAGCTGGAATCCCGGCTCTGCCAATACACTTACCAGACACCACTGGGTGAGTTACTGATAAACTTCGTGCCCCTGTTTTGCTCTTCTGCTAAATGAAGCTAATAACGTTTACCCCTTGGAGATGTGAAGTAAAGCGAGACAACGTGTAAACACCTAAAAAATGCCTGGCACGTGATAGGCACTTAGTAAACCAGAGTTACTGTCATTTCAAAACAATGTTCTCAACTTAATACCCCTAAACCCAGAGCAGATTTACTATTAAATTCTGATAGCTCAAGAGACACATGCCAGATTTATGTCTGATGAAGAATTTAACATCTTTCTTGCTATTTTTGTATCGGTTTCCAGTTATATTTCAGTTGACCCAGAATATTTCTCATGGAGTGTTGCCCTGTGCAAGCTGCTAAAGTAGGTGGACACAATATAACCCTCTAAGATAAAAACTCCCATTTCTAACCAAGGCTAACATTCAGAAAACAAAGTACTTTTCACAAGCAAGGAGGGGGAAAAGTTAAGGTAGGGAAATAAGGTTCATGGGAGGCACTGCTAGCTGGGTCTGAAAAAGTGAAAGGAATTCTGAATATTTAATCAGGGAAGATTCTGGGGTTTAAGGTAAATTCTGAAAACACAGTGTGGGTATCTTGAGTGACGTTACCAGAGGTTTGGAATTGAGAGGTAGAACTGAGTAAAGAAAGAGGGAAATATTCTTGCCTGGGCAACAGATGAGAAGGGAAATGTAAGTGGAGGAGGCATTTGTTGAGGAAAACAGTGGGAAGTGGGAAAAGGAAGGTGAGTAGTTTTTTAGGGCAAGGTTTGAAAGTGTGGAAGCAAAAAAGGATGCCACTTAATTTAAATGAACTCAGGAAGAAAATTATCAAGAATTTAGCTGGAGAGGAGAATAAACAAGACACGTGAGGACAGTATTATTTGGGGGTGGGGTGGAGATGACAGGAGTGCCTGGTGAAAGATTGAAAGTGAGGAAGGAGAGCGTAGGGAAGCACAGATGCTTTCAATGTTCTGCCCTGACTCTGTTTAAGAAGCAAAATGGAGAGCAGTCCAAAGGAGGGGGAGGGGTTTCTTCTCCCTAAAGTCAGCTTGAGATGGCTATACAATACCCAAATTAAGATGACCTTCAGATAACTGGGAGAAATTGCCTCAAGGGAGAGGCAAAGAAACAAATCTGGGAGATAGACTGCATGGAAACAGGAGAGGATGAGCTCACTAAGGGAGAGAATTTTGCAAATGGAAGACTAGAATTGAATTTTTGAAGAATGGTGAAAGATTAGGGGATACGTGGTAGTTCCCTGGAGAACTAATCTAATAGAGGCGTGGTGAATGAATTAAATAACTAAAGCAAACCACCAAAGAAAAAGTACTGTGAGAAGTGAGAAGTGAGGGACTTCCCTGGTGGTCCAGTGGGTAAGGCCCTGTGCTCCCAGTGAAGGGGTCCCTGGTTTGGTCCATGGTCGGGGAACTAGATCCTGCACGCATGCCCCAGCTAAGAGCCCGCATGTCACAACGAAGATCCCGCGTGCTGTAACTGAGACCCGGTGCTGCCAAAATAATTAAAAGAAGTGAGACGTGAGGAAGGCACTCTTAGGAAGGGAATGGAATATGGGGCCAGCCGGAAAAAGGCAACCCAGAAAATCTTACCAGGCTTTTGTACTCAGATTAACCCTGTGAGCTGGACTGAAAAAAGTACTCATCTCTAAAGCAGGGATGACAATTACAGTGTGTACTTCACAGGATTCTTGTGAGGATTTAATGGATTTATACCTGTAATGCCCATAGAACACTGTGTAGCATCTGGCACTATGCATTTGCTATTATTATAACGGCACTCAAACTCCAAAATCTTGGGTTTGAGTACTAGCTTGGGCAAATCGCTTCACCTACCTTAGTCTCCTACCTCACCTGAAATTGAAGATGATAACGCTGACTTTACTGGTGGCTGTGAAAGAGGATACCTGAAAGGGCTTTGAAAAATGTAAACTACAGATAGATGGCATCGTTATAGCTTCCCCTCCTCAACTTACAATAACTTAAGAGCTAACATCAGATGCTTTCTATGTTACAGGCATTGGGCTTAGTACTTTACATACATCATCCTATGCAGTCTGCAAAACGACTTGAAGAGGTTGGGTACTGTTATCGCTAGTTCACAGTCAAAAAACTGGGTCTCAGAGAGTTTAAGTCTGTGATTTGCCCAAAGAATACAAGATTCCAAAGTCCAAACGCATCAGAAGCTTAAAGACGTGGCCTAACCTGTTGCTTGTGGGGTTAAATGACTGACCTTGTATAACTGTCAGGGATTTAGGGCGGGAAACAGAGTCCCCAACAAAACTCCCCGCTCAATAGGAGAGAGGTTGTTGGGTAATGATTGACTTGCAGAGTAACTGGAAGAAATTCTTGGACTTCTATTCATTTATTTAAAAAAATTTTTTTAAATGCTCTCTAGGGGGCAAACATTGTGTCGGGTTGGGGATGACAGTCCAGGTTACTCTCTGATAAGCTGTTTTCCTCCACTTTCCCTACCCCTTGGTTTCCTCGTATCCAAATGCGGTTCTGCTAATTTCCCCGTTTCCAGGCGATCGTGGGACCTAGACCAGCGAGTCCCCTTCCCATCCCGCCGCCCTACCCCTTCCCGGATGGCAGGTGAGCGAGAGTACTGTGGCGAGAGGCCCTGACCGCCGCGTCTCAGCAACCGTTGGCCCCCTCTGCTGGTGCCCGCCCCGCGCGGGGGCGTAACCGCCACTCCTCCTACTCCGCCCGCCCCCGGGCTTCGCGAACAATGACGGCCGCCGCCCGCCCACCTTTGACGTCACGATCAAAAACAATCCATTAACTACAAGTCCCAGAAAGCCGAGCGGCTGCGCGAGCTCGATCGCTCGCGGCTGTTCTGGCACAACTACATATCACAGCGGGCATCGCGCGGCCGCGGCTTCTCCACTGCGCAAGTGCGGAAACGCCTGAGTTTCCGGCGTGGGTCTAGGCGAGCGAGGCAAGCTGTTAGGCTTAGGTCCTAGTTAGTGAGGGCTTTTTGGTTTACAAGTTTGGGCTCTTGGCTGTACAGGTAAGATAATAAGCTCAGGAACGCAACCGTCGCTTCCTTGGAGCCTGGGCAGATTTCGGTGCCTGGGGAGGCTGGGACAGATGCTGGACCTAGAGCTGCGATCCGGGATCGGAGATGATTCTTCGCTGTTCCTCGGCGTTTTCTAGTTTATGTAGTGATTTTTTTCCCCCACTCCAGCAATCGCTGTTAATCCCCAGAGCAACACTTTGTGTGAGGAAGTGTAAGTTCCTCCAGTTGACAGCTGAGGAAAAGGTACAGAGAAGTTAAGTGATTTTATTTGTCTAAAGACACTGCCAGTGGTTGCTGAGCTGTTTTCTTATTGCTGTTTTGAGTCCGAAGCCGGTATTCTCTGCTTTGCATCCGGATTGCTGGTTCCCTTTCTTGTTGACTGAGAGGGCTAGGGATTGGGCATCTATTGCCTTTTTAAGTCTGGAGTATCCCAGTAGGGCGATGAAGGTGATGTAATCAAGTCTTTCAAACTGTAGATACCGTTTTCTTACTCCCGAGTCATGTATTCACTGGGTGTTTTTATAGAGGTGCCTTTGGGTTGTCAAGCTGTATTCTAGGTACTAGAGTTACAGCAGCAAACAAAAATACCCCCCCCCTTACGTCCTAGTGAGGATAGACAGACAATAAACAAATATATAGTGAGACAGATGGTGATCGGAGGTAAGAAGAAGTATGAAGCAAGGTAAGGAGAAACGTCCACTGGAGGATTTTGAAGTGAGTCCTGACTTCTGTTTTGATCTGATATTTGTGTTCTAGGCACAGCAGCCACACAAAAAAGATGGGAGAGGAGGCCAATGATGACAAGAAGCCAACCACTAAATTTGAACTAGAGCGAGAAACAGAACTTCGCTTTGAGGTGGAGGCATCTCAGTCAGTTCAGTTGGAGCTGCTCGCTGGCATGGCAGAAATCTTTGGCACAGAGCTGACCCGAAACAAGAAATTCACCTTTGATGCTGGTGCCAAGGTGGCTGTTTTCACTTGGCATGGCTGTTCTCTACAGCTCAGTGGCCGCACCGAGGTGGCTTATGTCTCCAAGGACACCCCTATGTTGCTTTATCTCAACACTCATACAGCCTTGGAGCAGATGCGGAGGCAGGCGGAGAAGGAAGAAGAGCGAGGGCCCCGGGTGATGGTAGTGGGCCCCACTGATGTGGGCAAGTCCACAGTGTGCCGTCTGCTGCTCAACTACGCAGTGCGTTTGGGCCGCCGGCCCACTTACGTGGAGTTGGATGTGGGCCAGGGCTCTGTGTCCATCCCTGGTACCATGGGGGCCCTCTACATTGAGCGGCCAGCAGATGTTGAAGAGGGATTCTCTATCCAGGCCCCTCTGGTGTATCATTTTGGCTCCACCACTCCTGGCACCAACATCAAGCTTTATAATAAGGTCAGAGCCAGGGCCAAGGTGGGGTGGAGGGAAGGGCTGCTGTCAGGGTTGGAAGCTGTGCAGAAGTTTTCCAGTTAAAATTCTTTGCTCCCTCTCAGCTGGTATTATTGCCACATGATTTTGGAAAAGACGGTTTCAAAAATAAGTCAACCTCAGATTGGTACACGTTTCTATGGACCTGTTCTTAAGTGATTTATTAAATTTCTACTTAGGACATGAAACACAAGAGACAGAAGAAGCAACATAAAATAAAAATTAAATCCACGTTATGGGGTCACAACCACAGCCATTAAGAATGTCCATTTTTTTATATCTAATTCCACTTATTCTAAAGAAGGCTAAAAGAGCTGTGGGTTGGTTTGTTGCTGTGGGTTTTTTTTTTTCCCTCACCTCGATCCTTTCTTCTGCAGATTACATCTCGTTTAGCAGATGTGTTCAACCAA